ATTGAAACCACATTTTACACGTGAAAAGAACGGAGTCAGGAAACTCCATGATGCCTTCCTCTGCCGTGGGCCCAGGGATGATGTCTTGTCTTTGTCCATTGCCTGTGAAGATCAGCTATTAATTTGCATTGCCAGGATGAGAGTCAACAGAATTTTGTTTTTGGGTTAGTTTGCGGGGTGCGGGGGGGTGTCTATTCTGAAAGATTTCAGGGCCCAGGAGGAATTTTTTCCTGAGCCTTTGCGGGGGAGGCCACCTAGGGAGCTATGTGACCCTTCTACGTTGCAGCCATCTATGTGGGAACAAAAAACAGGCCATTTCTTGCACAACTCAGTTCCCAGGCTTAACTTTTAGTGAGTTTGGGGTCCCGAGTTTTTTTTCAGAGGTGTAATCTCTATTTTTTTAAAGTAGTATAACGGATCAATAATATATTTATTACAGCACTTAAAATAGGGTTTAATAAGTTTTAGGAATTTTTTTTATTGGCTTTTAAGTTCTGGGGTATATGTGCAGAGCATGCAGGTTTGTTATATATGTCAGAAATCCAAGTTCTTAGGACATTTTCACTGAGGCTTGGGAGTACATGCAGGAAGGAGCCAGGGGTCCCCTGTAGGCGGATGAACTCCTTAATGGATAAGCTCACCCATGATGGTACCAGAATACAAAGCAACCTCCAGTGAGAAGCCTTGGAACAGTGTTTTTCTGTAGCAGATTTGAAGTTTGGATTAAGAATAAGGCGCCAGGTGGCAGATGAGGTGCTAGACGTCACTGCTCTCATCTTCCTGGAAATGGTCAGGGCACAGTGAGCCTTCCAGGGCTACACAGCAGGTCTGATGACCCACTGGCTTTCCTGTCTCTTCTGGGGTTTTCTACATTTGGTGGCTTCTTCAGCACCCAATTTTCCTGTTGACGGCAGGTAGTAAAATCACTGTCTATTAAAGAGCCCTCTGTTCTCATTAACAGGAGTCTCCAGCCCATTTTTAAATTTAGCAGGGTCCCATGTTTTCTCTGCCCTGCAGCCAGGCTGGTGGTGGCGCACGATACAGAGATGAATGGGCCTAGAGGTGGCCTCACCCTCCCTGGCTGCCTCCTGACAAGATCCCGTTATCTCCAAGGACACTGGGGTGTAAATATGGTACTCCAGAAAGACTCCCATTGTGAGGAAGCGGCTTTTGAATCTGGAAAGAAAGTGCTAGAAACTAGCTAGGACAAGAGGGTGAGGGGGAGAGAGGAATAGGGAGAGAATATTCCAGGCTTATAGGGGCTACTTTTCCATAGGCACCACGGAAGTGCCTAATTCAAGACCTGAGAAGAGCCCACTGGGGCAGGCAGGGAGAGAGCAAAGGGAGATGACTATGGGAGCTCAGTGGCTCACATCTGTAATCCCAGACTTGGGAAGGCCCAGGCGGGTGGATCACCTGAGGTCAGGAGTTCAAGACCAGCTGGCCAACGTAGTGAAACCCTGTCTTGACTAAATTACAAAAAAAACAAAAAACAAAAAACAAAACTAGCCTGGCATGGTAGTGGTAGCAGGTGCCTTTAATCCCATCTACTTGGGAGGCTGAGGCAAGAAAATTGCTTGAACCTGGAGGCAGAGGTTGCAGTGGGCCGAGCTCGCACCATCACACGCCAGCTGACAAGAGCAAAACTCCTTCTCAAAAAAAAATGTTTTTAAATAAAAAAAAATTTTTTTAAAGAATCTGGGAACTGATAGGAGGGTTTCTTCCTCAACATGGGCTCAGAGGAAAAGCTCTGGAGCTTGAGAAGCTCTGTGCAGGTCTGTGGGGAGCACAGAAGGCACCCCGGCCCCAGGGCTCAGCCTCGCAGCCCTGACAGCCTCCCTGGCCAGACCTCCAGGAAGGGCTGTTCTCTCTGCTCTTTCCTGTTTGCTGGGCTTATTCAAAGTAAGCATCAGAATACAGTTCTCCCCCTTGGAAATAACAAGTAGGCAAGATGGGGAAGGAGAATAAAACCTAGAGCTACCCAGTGCAGCCTCAAATGTTAGTCCCAACATTGTCTGTTCCTGTGAACGTGAGATGGTTACTTCCTTGTCTGAGCCTCGCCGTCCTCATCTGTAAAAGAAGCACGATGCTTTGCCTTGCAGTTGCTGGAGGCAGGGTGGTGGATATCACATGGTGCCTTCACACTGCAGTCCTCCAGGTGAGGCGGGCATTCCACAGAGGCAGGCACAGGGCCCACGTCCATGCAGGGGGGACACGCTTGGGAGGGAAGACAGCAGCAAAATATGGGTGTTGGCAGCTCACAATGACTCCTCCACTTCCTGTGTGCCCCTGCTGTGTACCAGGGACCTTCATGCCACTACGCAGCCATCTGGTGCTCCTGAAGATGACATGACATTTTCCTCCAAGTCTCCTAAGGACTGCTGCTGTCAGGTTAAAGACATGCAGCGTCTCCTGTACCCTTCACCACCCCATGGGCTCCATGGTGTAAGGCTGCATAGCGGGGCAGGCAGCATGGCCTAGCAGAAGCCCAGAGTGGGCACTCAGGACTGGGGGTGAGCCCTGGCTTTGGCACTGCCTCACTGTGTGGGCAGCTTGGAGACTTTCCAGGAACAAAGCAGGAATGGGCACATTTAGATGCGGCCAGTTCTGTGCCTTGTCTCTGTATTTGTGAAATAAAGAAGGTGAACTTCTTGTGGTGTCGTCACAGCCACTGCAGCCCTGTGTGTCCACAGAGACTCATCTTCAAGCATTGAAATAATTCCCCCAGCAGATGACCAGTGCTTGCCTGCCAAGCTCCCCGTGGCGGCTCCTGAAGACAGTTCCTTCCTTCATTCGGGAAACACAGGTTCCTCAAATCTACACCTGACTGAGGCCAGCCTCCCGCCCTGTAGGAAGATGAAAGAGCTTGGTTTCAGAGCTCTTCAGACTTGGACCTGCACGCTCCATAGCAGGCATGCCAAGGGTGCTTGGACTCACTCAGGGGTGATGATTCCTACATGTTAGGCCTGCGCTCTCACTGCCGACCTGACATCAGAGAGGAGAAGAGTGGACACTGAACCTTAAATCAAGGCGTCATCATTCCCAGGGTGATGGGAATGCAGGCTGCAGGGTTCTCTGTGTTTAATCATACAACACACAACTTCCTTTGGCTGCAACATTTCCAATTTTACTGCCAATTTCTGTCTTAAAGGGTAAGTAAAGGGGGTGATGGCTACTCTAGCAGCCATGGTAAGACTTGGGGACTAAATGATGACAACGATCCCCAAGGCCCACCACCATCAGAGTGGCCCCCTGCCATCTCTTCGAGGACCCTGTACTCCCCCAAAGGAGGTTTGCTGGCCAGTTGCTGGAGCAGTGAGTGTGGGAGATTCTGGAGGCTTCAGTCCCCGTGGGAACAGCACTGCGTTCAAAACAGAACCCACACAAAGGACCTGGGCAAGAAAGAGAGGCACCAACCCGCTGCCAAGAGGTTCTCAGAGTTCCCTCAGAGAGTCTCAGAAAGGGAGAGCTTTGTTTTCGTTTTGCTTGCTTCTGAAAACACATAATGAGGGTATTATAAGGAGAGTCACCTGTGTGCATAAAACATAGCAAAGTCCCGCCCCTCCCTTCTGCAGAATGTCCCTTACAGCCATCGGACTTCCTGCCCCAAAGTAGCCTCCTCACCAGACAGAAGAATCTTTTTTTTCTTTTAGGTCCAAAACAAACTTTGTTTACTTAGAGATAATAAAGAGCTCAGTAACTCCAATCCTGAATACTTAAGCTGTAGGTTGACTAGAAGTCCGTGATTCACCAGTCCTGTTTTTTGGAAGTAGAATACAACTACATTTGGTATTTTCTCTCAGTTCTCTGGTATTCTTGAAGCTTGAACATATTCAAAACACTTTAATGGTAACTTGTTGAACAGCAATAGAAATCAGATGGTGTACTTAGAAGTCAGTCTCCCACAAAAAAGACGTTATACCCAAGTCCTTGACCTAATGATGCCCAAGCCAGGTGGGACTAGCACTATGTGACCTTGAGTAGCTGAACAATAACAGTGCAGTAATGCTGTTTAATAGCATAGCTCATCCAAGTTTCTGTCCCCTCTACAGTGTCAGGACCAAATAGTGGCATCCTGCCTGAGCTCTCTTCCTCCCTAAGGTTTCCCAGAGAAGCTCCAGCCCTTGCTGAACCTGCATGACCGAGCCTGGTGATGCTGGGACCAAGAGAAGTCCCTGCAGACAAGAGCAGCACTTCTCCCAGTGAAGGCCCACCTGCAGCCCCTGCTAAACAGGCCATTTGACCTCCTGGGCCCTGCAAGGTGACTGAGAGCGAAGCATCTGCCCCAGCCCTGGCACCTCTTGGCTGTGGGCCTCAGAGTCCTCACAGAGACCATTACCAATTTTAGAAGCAATAATTTGGATGAATCTCTCAGAAAGGTGCATGGCGTGTCATAAATATCATTAGCTGTCTTTTAAGCAAATATCCCAGATTTATGCAAAACTTGAGAATCAGTGTCCCTGGGAATTGATCAGAAGCTTTCAAAAGCTCTTGCCTGACCTTTTTAGAGCCTGAATAAAGTGGAAAGCAAAATCCAATGTAATCACTTCGCTCCTGTTCCTGGCATTGGAGAAACAGCACTGTGGGCAGTGTCTGCCTTCCCAGCATCCTCTCAGCAGGGTGGGCTGAGCCTTAAGGCTGAGTGCTAAGTGCCTCTGAATGCAGAGGCGCGGGGCAGCTTCTGGGGCGTGGGGTAGATGGGAGCAGGCCCTCAGCCCCCTGGTGTAGGTTACCCCAGAATCCATTTCCACGAAACCCCTGGTGATACTGCTCTGAGAGTCTTCTGGAAATAATGCAGGAAAACAAGACTTCAGCAAAAGCGAATATAGCTATACTTGGCCAATATTGCAGGTTCGGTTCCAAACCTCTGCAAAAAAGCAAATATCACTATCAAGAGAGTCACAAATTTTTGCTTTCCCAGCACATATGAAGGTTATGTTTACACTATATGTATGAAGTATTCAATAACATTATGTGTAAAAAAATGTACATACCTTAAGTTTAAAATACTTTATTGCAAAAAATACTGACACGGAGACACACAATGAGCACATGCTGCTGGGAAAATGGTGCCATTAGACTTGGTCAAGGCAGGGTGGCCGCAAACCTTCACTTCATGAAAAACGCAGTATCTACGCAGTGCAGTAAAGCAAAGCACAATACAACAAGGTCTGCCTCTAAGCCGAAAAACAACAGAGAAAGAGGACCTGAAGTCGTGTTTGATTTCCCTGCATGGGACCAGCTTACACCTGTCTCCTTTCCGACTTAAGTAGTAAAGTGCTTCATGCATAAACAGGATGGGCGCTGCTGCCCTGCAGACTAACAGAGTCACTTCCCTGAGGGTGAATGGCCTCCGGGGACCAAAACCGATAGTCGGGGCTCTGGGAGAGACCCGGAAGCAGTTCTGTTCCTCTCTGTGGCACAACCTGTGGTTGCTGATTACCTCTTGAATCCGGGGCAGGGGATCTTTGGACAGCCTCCACTCTGTGGCTTCTGGAACAATCCTTGGAAGATGGCTCAGCTTATGCCAAGGCCTGCATTAACACAGATCATGTCATTTTTATTCTCCTACCCACTGTATCAATCCACAAAGAGTCAAGAATGATGTAATCACTCTAACAATCAATTCTGAAAAGGTTTTCTTTCAGTGGAAAAGTGCTCATAGGCCTGTTCTCGGGTGCATGGGCATAGGGCTGGCTATAGTGTCCGGGCCAGCTTTGCAGTGCCTCTTCCTTCTCCTGGACATTTGTTTTACTTAAAACTTCCTGAAGCTTCTCCATCAGCTGCTAACTGTCATGGCCAGATTCAGCCCACACAACCCTCAGGCTCATCAAGGGAGTTCTGTGCACCCAGATGGGAACCTTCTCTGTTTCGGAAGCCTGTTCTCCCCACCTCTGTGTGTGGCAGGAACATTTCTGAAAAGCCCCTTAGAAGGACGTCAAAGCCAGCTCTCATCACTTGTGGAGAACACTGCATTTTGTCACCAAATCAACCCCGTGCCAAGTCCCCAGGTGGTAGAGGATTGTGAGCCAGAAAGCCTCATTCAGAGGGAGCAAATGCTTGATCAAAACAAGCCACATGAGCCACAGATGCCACCACAAAAATTTGGAAAACATGTGTCCTATGCAAACAGCACCTCGCATTCTGCTGTGAGAGCCCTCCCAGTGACAACCAGGCAGATCCCTCAACAGCGCTAAGTTTTAAGCTCTATGCGCACGCGTCCTCTGCAGGAGGTCAGCCTGGCATGCCCCTGGGGTTTCAACAGATGCTTCTGTACTTCTAGTCATTTGACTCCCCTGAGTAAATTAGGCATTAAGTGACAGGTGGGGACAGCAGAGCTTAATGTTTCCCACATAGGTCAACTCAGGAAACGTGCAAGATCCAAAGCCTTTATGCAGCCCGAGTCAGTGAGACAAAGCACCAGTCTGGTCTGGAAGGTTGGAGACCTGAGTGCCAGTGGCAGCTTTGAATGTTTTCTAGAATATTTCAACCCTGTGCTCACCTGGATGAAAAGCTCCAGACATCCCCACACCTGGCCCGCAGCGCCAATCACACTTTATGATGTTTTCTTTGTTTTCTCTGTCTCTTCAACCAGACTTTAAGCTCCTTAAGGGCAGGGCCTGTGTTGTTTTTGTGTCCCTAACACCTGGTATGAAGCCTGACACACAACAGGCCCTTTGAGAGGCCACGTGTGTGTGTGTAATAGGGTGTCAAAGGGAATTTCAGCCTGTGACACTAAGAGACACTTGCTCTCTTATTCCAAAGGAGGCATCAGACGGTGTGCAGAGCGTACAAATGACTTACTGACCTGCAGGGAGCTTGTGAATTGGCCAGAAGACTAGAGGTTGAAAGAGGGTTTGGACAGAATGTAGTGGGGCTAAGCCCCTTCCTAAAGGGGACGGTGGGGATCCCCCCTCACCTCCGGCCTTGTGAACAGGCCAGAACTGCTCAGCCTGGCCTTGAGTCTCTGAGTGGTCCTGGGAAGCATCTCCAGCTGGGGGACATGTATGGCAGGCGGGTTCTGACACTTGGAAATGCTGAACCTAGGCACTGATGGGGCATCTGGGCACACAGGGTGGGGAGCTGGGGTTCAGGACACGGCTGGACTGTCCGTTGCTTGGACGGCAAAGAGTACTGAGTGTTGCTAAACAACCAAGCAAGAAAAAGAGAAGTGGAAGTGGTGTCAGGTTATTTTAGATCCAATGTTACAAAGCTGCCTGGAGTGGGGGCAGGGCGGGGTGAAGGGACTGTGGCCGAGAAACTCAAAGAAGTAGCCTGAAAGCCTGGACCTGAGAGGGTGATGAGGAGCAGGGGGGATGCACATGGCCTCCATTGTGGAAGACTTGGGGATGGGGCGATGTCCAGGGATGGGCGAAACAGCAGGGAGCCTTCCAAAAATCCATGAAAGCATCCAAGGGGGCACCAGCTTTGAATATTCAGGGAACGGGATGCAGCTAATAGGAAGCTGTCCTGCCTCACAGCCTCTTCTTCCTTCCCCTGTTCTCCGTTCTGGATGGTTTGGAAAACCCAGCTAGCAAGTTAGGAAGAGTGGAAGTAGAAAGAGAGGTGGAGAGAGTAGAAACCAATGGATTCCCTCCTCCCCCTGCAGGAGGCCCCCGCTGGTGAAGGGCACAAGCCACACGTACAATGAGGGCAAGAGCTTTGCCGATTTCTGGGGCCGGGGCCTCTAATTATCGATGAGAGGACCTTGCATTACACACAGTGACATGAAGGGCCACGGGTACTCCCAGGTGTCCATCCAAGATAGGGGAAGATCTACCCATGCTCCAAAAACTGAAAGGGGTAGTGGGCACAGAAATGCATTTGCTTTGTGACTATGTTTTCATTCCTTGAACTTATTCAACAGAAAGCTTGCATGTGAATGAATGTCAAGGTGACATTTAAACTTACTTTCAGTTCTAAAGCTCGGTAATGCTTTTGGGTAACTATATGCTGGACGTGGGTTACCCACTCTAGACCTTGAATTCCAAATTATCTTCAAAAGCTGCCCACCTGCCCTACCCCAAACCCCAGGTCCTCTGGAAGCATAAGACAAGCTCAAGTCATCTGCCAATCAGCATGTAATCCTCTCTGGCCCCGTGCCTAATCCAACCATGGGAGGGAACCTCTAATGAGTTCAGGGCATGGTTCTCAGCCCTGAAAGTTTCACAGGCTCGAGAGAATTTGGGAAGCCTAGAAGTTTCCATGGTTTTCCAGTAGTTATAGTTTTATGGAAGCCATGAATCTGAGGACCAGGTGACCAGTGACTGGAGCTCACCCCAGGCATTCCCCCAGAGGTTCCAAGTGACGCTCTGCCAAAGAAGGTGGGTGATCAGTTTGTAGTCCAAGCTTTCCAGCAGTGTTCACGGCCTGCAGAGAATCCAGGGATTGGTCCTGGCCCTTCCCCTGGGCCAGCTGGGAGCCTTGGTGGCACCCCAGCTCCCCTGAGCTCCATTTCCTCATGTAGTCTGTCATTCTTAATCAAGGCTGCACAGCAGGATAACTCAGGGAACTTTTCAAAACAATGCCCATACTTGGAGCCCAGCCTAGGGGATGAGGGTCAGTTGGTGAGTGGGGAGGCCCAGGCACCTGCCTTCTTGGAAGTCCCATTAGAGACTCTCCTGTGCACCCCCGTTTTGGTCCTGTGTAATGAAATGACATGTCAGATCCAAACTGCCCATCAGTTCAGTCTTGCATTTCATGATCTCCAAGTCCCAGATACCCTTAAAGACTCCAGAAGAAAACACAAAGGTAAAGTGACAGGACCTGCAAGTGTTGGAGGCCCCATGCTGTCCCCACACAAAGCAGTGAAGCCTGTGATCTTCTGGGAGACGTGATAAAATATAAAGTGCAGCATACACAGGGGTGGATTCACTGTCAGACATGATAACTGCAACCTTGGGCAAGTATCGGAACCACTCTGTGCCTCAGTTTCTCTATTTGTAGATGAAACACTACAGTACCAGCCTCATGGGGTTGTAGTTGGGGTGAGTTCATGCAGGTAAAGTGTTCAGAGAGGTACCCGTCCTACCATGTGCTAAGTGCACAGTAAGTGCTGGCTATTGTCATGCTTAGTCTTGTCATCATTATCATTCCCCAAAGAACACTCTGGCCAGTGTCAGCAGACAGTGGGGAAATACAAGCTACAGAAAATATGTCCTTGCCTTGCTAGATGCACCCTTTCCTTAAGGGAAAGCCAGGGGCGTTTATACCACTTTTATAAAATTGAATTTTTTTGAGATGGAGTCTCGCTCTTTCACAGACTGGAGGGCAGTGGCCTCTAGGCTCACTGCAGCCTCCACCTTCCAGGTTCAAGCGATTCTCCTGCTTCCGCCTCCTGAGTAGATGGGACTACAGGTGCGCACCACCACACCCAGCTGATTTTTGTATTTTTAGTAGAGATGGGGTTTCACCATGTTGGCCAGGATGGTCTTGATCTCTTGACCTAGTGATCTGCCCGCCTTGGTCTCCCAAAGTGCTGGGATTATAGGCGTGAGCCACCGTGCCTGGTGGCAAAACTGACAAGATCCTAGGGGGTTCTCATCGCTGTTACTCTGACCCCCTGGCTGCAATCAGCATTGCCAGCACTATGCCTTACCTGTCACAGGCTGCCTACCAAGGACAAATGTTCAAAAAGGCAACTTTGCAGAGAGAGAGAAAACACAGTTATGCACAAGAAAGTAGCTCAATCATATTGAGCACAAAATAGACAAGAAAACCTTGATTTCATTGCTGATGTACTTTGTACAGATCTGGAGGAAGTAGTGGGCGTTATAGAGTGGCTGGTCCTGAGACCCAGAAGAGGACATGAGTCCATCTTTTTCTCAAAACTGTGTGGCCTTCAGTTGGGTTTCCCTGGCTCTGATGGTTTTGTGAGGGGACCTCACTAGGGGAAGAACTGTTCCTCTGAGGTGCCACCAAACCTTGGAGTTATAAGACTATTTAAGTGCTTGCTCTCTGCAAAGGAGTTCACCTGGGTGCCCCAAAGAGCAGGGCTTAATGATAATGTTCATGTACAATGGTTTTCTTTGCCCTGCCAAACACACAGGAAGCACCCACCACTAGCATTTTTCCCTCCACTCAGAAGTCAGCCATCTTGTCTCACAGAACTCTCCTCACCTTGCCTGGGGAAGAAAGCATTTCCCATGATGCACTGCATCCACAGTGGCCCCGGCCTGTGTTGGGGCCATCTCAGGAGTCTCAGTAGCCCTTGCCAGTGACAGGCAGATCCTCCACACCTAGGACTAGCCCCCAAGACCACCTAACAGCTCTTCCTTTCTGAAATCTTCATTGATTCGAAGGTGTCACTGTGTTGGGAAAATGATGGAAACACCTTGAAATTGTGTTTACAAGACATTGCAATTTAACTCATGTCTATGGATGAAGAGCTATGAGCCTCTTTCTATTTAAAAACAAAAGAATATCCCTAGTAAATATAGTCAGTGTCTAATATAATATAAATAAGTATACTGAGGAGTTCTATTGGTTCTTTCTGGTGTAATAACAAGTAACTTGATGAATTCCATATGCTCTT